CTGTGCCACCAATCATGTATCAATACTACTCTGTGCCACCAATCATCTATCAATACCACTCTGTGCCACCAATCATCTATCAATACCAATCTGTGCCACCAATCATCTATCAATACTACTCTGTGCCACCAATCATGTATCAATACCAATCTGTGCCACCAATCATCTATCAATACTACTCTGTGCCACCAATCATGTATCAATACTACTCTGTGCCACCAATAATCTATCAATACTACTCTGTGCCACCAATCATGTATCAATACTACTCTGTGCCACCAATAATCTATCAATACTACTCTGTGCCACCAATCATCTATCAATACCACTCTGTGCCACCAATCATGTATCAATACCAATCTGTGCCACCAATCATCTATCAATACTACTCTGTGCCACCAATCATCTATCAATACCAATCTGTGCCACCAATCATCTATCAATACCACTCTGTGCCACCAATCATGTATCAATACCAATCTGTGCCACCAATCATGTATCAATACTACTCTGTGCCACCAATCATCTATCAATACCACTCTGTGCCACCAATCATCTATCAATACCAATCTGTGCCACCAATCATCTATCAATACTACTCTGTGCCACCAATCATGTATCAATACCAATCTGTGCCACCAATCATCTATCAATACCAATCAGTTCCACCAATTATGTATCAATACCAATCTGTGCCACCAATCATCTATCAATACTACTCTGTGCCACTAATCATGTATCGATACTTGGGACAATCATCGTTATTAACACTGCTCAGAGTTATACCTCAGTACTGCTCTGCATCAGAATTGTGGATCAACTTCTCAGTGTTACCAACACACCAACACACCCTATACCAATTTCCGATGTCCCTGCAATTATGACATGTTTTATGGTTTTGTATCTGTTTGTTATTACATTGCCTCTATAAATAGACCCCAAAAAAAGAGATGATTGATGGGAAAAAGATGTTTGATGGTTATGGGTGTCAGGGCTGGATGAAGACCCCACTGGGCTGACAATTACGATGGGCCTAATTACCGATTCTTATTGACAGAAAACACTAAAATAGTCATACCTCCCATGTATCTGGTGGTGGTGCTGGTGCTACCATGTTTCCCCGAAAATAAGACCTACCCCGAAAATAAGCCCTAGCTGGATTATCGGGGTGGGCTGCAATATAAGCCCTACCCTGATAATAAGACCTAGGCAGGGCCGGCGGCTACCGGCCCTTTAAATGCTTCAGCCGCCTGAGCGCTCTATAGAGAGCGCTCAGACGGCTGCCGCACTGCCTCACCTCCCCTTCCCTGTAGCGTGGCCGAGCTCCTTTCCGGTCCGCGACCCGCCCGGACTGACAGGAAGTGCACACTGGGTGTGCACTTCCTGTCAGTCCGGCCGGGTCGCGGACCGGAAAGGAGCTCGGCCACGCTACATGGGAGGTGAGAAGATTGGAGGGAGGGGGGGGAGTATTACAGGGAGGGAGGGAGGGGGGATAATATTACTGGAGGGAGGAAGAGAGAGCATTACTGACAGGGAGGGAGGGGGAGAGTATTACAGGGAGGGAGGGGAGAATATTACAGGGAGGGAGGGGGGAGAGTATTACAGGGAGGCAGGGGGGGATAATATTACAGGGAGGGAGGGGGAGATAATATTACAGGGAGGGAGGGGAGAGTATTACAGGGAGGGAGGGGAGAATATTACAGGGAGGGAGGGGGGAGAGTATTACAGGGAGGGAGGGGAGAATATTACAGGGAGGGGGAGAGTATTACAGGAGTGGAGGGAAAGAGCATTACAGGGAGGGGAGAATATTACAGGATGGGAGAGTCTTACAGGGAGGGAGGGGAAAGTATTACAGGGAGGGAGGGGGGATAATATTACAGGGAGGGAGGGGGGAGAGTATTACAGGGAGGGAGGGAGGGGAGAATATTACAGGGAGGGGGAGGTGAGGGTCTCTGGGGGGGTTACACAGCGCAGACACCAGCTGACAGACTGGCTCTAAGCCCTACCCTGAAAATAAGCCCTAGTGTGTTTTTTGTGACTAAAATTAATAAAAGACCCGGTCTTATTTTCGGAGAAACACGGTAACTAACTGCTATTATTCATTAACTAATCTTTATTAATATGTCCGGCCACCATTCGTTGTGGCACGGTGGTTTAATGGGGTCGGTGGCAGGGAGTTGTAATCCTGTCTGTTACATGTGATATTATACCGTGTAATCACTACAGGGTACAAAAAAGTTTGGCATGAAGTTCCAAAGTATTGATTTTGTGTAGTCTGGCTAGTGTAAATAAACTCCGGAGTCTATCACCATCTACAGCGTCCCAATAGTTTACATCAATAATCAACCATTGCAGAACAGTCATTTACACATTCTCCTGGAATATTGGGTCCTTATCAGATTCCATGTGTGACTTATATGGCGACTAACGGTATTTGTCTCCAAAAACAGGTCACTGGGCAAGACAGGCAGGTAGATTAGAGTACTACAACCACTGCCAATATCTACGTGATCTGAAGTGCGCCATTCATTACAGTGGACCCAGATGTTCTCAAACTCATCCAGTTATTCTGCACATGAAGTCCATTTGGTGAAGATTTGTCTCTTACGATTGCCTTTGTTGAAGATACCATAATGGACTGATCAATTGTTCCTTAATCCATGATAAAAGATATATCTCTTCACAAATAATTTGTAGGTTCATTTGGCATTTAGAAATGTAATCAACATACCAAAACATTTTAATTAATATAACCATTATATTGTAACTACCAGAGGGTTAGCCATTCCAATCTACATCTATATATATTTGAAACATAATTGTCAATCGTATTCCAGGTTAGTTCAGCAGACTTACCTAATATTCCAGGCTAACATTAATATCTGAAGGACTGCACCTCCAATAAGTAAAAAATATATTCACCAGTAATACATTTATGGAGGTGCCTGTCAAATGGAAGACATCATCCAAATAAAATCTTTGATAAAATATATACTGTATTCATATGATCAATATAAATATACATTAGTTTTTTTTTCTGTGAAGCACCTGCTTTCAAGTAGATCAGTTTTTGAAAGATCTCAATGGTGATAATAAATACATTCTGTAATTAATGTTTTGGTTTGGTTTTTGTAACTGGCGCTGTTACTTTTTACTTTATATTCTTTGGTTGTGCTGTAAAATATTGTATCTCTTTTTTTTTTTTTGTATATCACATCTTTAACAGCTTCAGCATTTTTGGACGGGCTTGCTAGCCAAACTTGGAATGTTGCTTCCGAGCGTAAAGAAAGACTTGTAAGATGATGGCCAAGTCGATGCAGATCTGTAATGTCCCACACATCCAGAACTGGGCAGGGGTAGCTTTAAGAACAAAATAACCCGTCTTGAAACAGTCCCCCGCTGTCCATAACAAGACCATCTTCACACTAAGAAAAGAAAGGACACAATTCAGTACAATATTCAGACGATATCCGAAGGTAGCAAGGTGACCTCACGGGGCTCCTGAACACTACTGATGTGTAACAAAAAGCTGCACGATTAATGTTTGCGGTTCATTACAGTTTCTGATGTCAAATCCATCTTTATCTAATCCCTTGAATTCACTTTGATTTCATTACTGCACCTTGAAATTTTACAAGAAGCAATAAATAATCTCATCAAAACCATCCTTCATTCACAGCTTAGCAGTTCCCGTAACCCAAACCTCTCCAAAATAGCTGATGCAGCTCTGAGCTGTGAGATCAAGGTACACGTTAAGCAATCTCTGTCATTGCATTGATAATGGAGGTGGGACAACCTTGATGTATTCAGCGCATGCTGTTCCCCACTGAGCGATGTGCTCTGTAGTTATAATTAAGTACATCTCTCTCCCATATCCTCTCTGTGATTAATGAGTTACAACCATCCAGCATTGCTGGCCGGCCCAAAGAGGAGCCCAGACTCATCTGTTGAGATCGGATATCTACACTACAATGAGAGCTGGACAACCATTTCCTTGTCTGTCTCACCTGTCACTTAGAACAGGACAACAAAAGGACTTTTGAGCTAAAGTCCTCCTGACATCACATATTTAAAAAAAAATTATATTCCTTCTGGAAATCCATATAGGTATTCGCATAAATCTGTTGTTTTGTTGCCGTTATTGATCATCGTATGCCATTATACAAATTGGAGGACAGTATAACTACATTTACTTTAACCCCTTAATGACGAGTGACGGACGAGGTCCGTCACTCAGGGGATTGCCATAACGACGAGTGACGGACCTCGTCCATCACCCGTTAAAATTAACCCCGGATCGCCGCTATTGTGGCGATCACGGGGTTAATGGTGCTCCGGTCTGCCTCTGTATTAGAGGCAGACCGGGAGCACCCAATAGTGCTGCCCCAGCAGGCTGTCAGAGCGAGTACATGTGCTCCATATACTCACCTTCCGCCTCCCTGCACTTCCTGGTTCTGTGTGAAGTGCAGGGAGCCGGAACAGTGATGATCCTGCCCCCTGTGTAAAAAATAAATAAAGTTAATTTAAAATCCCACCCCCCTTTGCCCATTTTAATAAAAAAATAACTCCTTCCCTGCCAATTGATCACTGGCTACAGTGATCAATTGGCAGGGATTACATTTTACTGTCATCTGATTTTTTTTTTAACCCCTGAGGGTTAATTCTTTTATTT